ATATATACCAGACTACCCCCAATCTAGTAATCTCCTGACAATTCACGAAGGTTCGAGAAGGACGTGGTGTGATACTAATCACGTGACCTCGCTAACGCAACAATATTATACACTGTGATTGGTTGCCATCCAACCAGTCAGACAGTGACTAACAAGCACAATACCTACAAATATACAATCATTCATATCAGTTCCATCAGTAATGTGGTGATTGTATTCATAGCTCTCAGGATAGAAATGCCACATAATAAATGTGTAAGAATAAAAGTTTTGACTGGTGAAGGCTACTCTGTGTGACAGAATGAGATAAAATTTAATGTTTTAGTAGGAACTGTATGGAAACACTGACAAGGTTATTTGAAACTAGTATTTTTTTTTATAATAGATGCAATCAAGGTAGAAAGATCAAATTTTTCAAAAGTCATGTTAAGTAATTCACAACAAGTCAGTAGAAATGTTGCCAATGACATAGATGAATTACATGTGTGAATTTAACTCCAGAATACTAACATACACATTATATGTACCACAAAATGGCATCAACTAATGTGTAGCTCCTCCAAACAAAAGGATTAAGTGGACATACGACTTCAAAGAATGAGATAATTAAAGCCAGAGGAGAGTGCTCTTTACAGATGAACCCAAATTCAAATTACTTGACAACAATCACTGATAAGTTAATGGATGGCAGAGAGGAGGACAGTATCACAGTCAATGTACAACACCTACAGCAAAGCATGCTGAGAACCAATACAAGTGTGGGTTACATATCAACCACTTAATGACTGGAAATTTCCAACAACCTCAAAGTTTAAAGTTACAAAAAGATTATCAAATGTGTAATTCTTAGGAACAAGACCTGCTGGGAAGGGTTCATCTTCAGCAAAACAATATGATTTGAAGGATTCCTAAAACATGATGATTGCTGTAAGGGAAAAGGAACACTTGCAACTATGGCTTGGCCAGTGCAAGTTTCAGATATTAATGTTATTAAGGCTGTTTGGGTTGACAGGGAAACTGACAACATCAAGCAGTAACCAATCAACTTGGCTAAACTGTAGGAAGTAATATGGCACAGTTGGAATACATTTTAGTCATAGATTGATAAATGTTTGGTAGCATTTAAAGCAAATACAAAATGCTAGTTGTTCAATAATTTTTCACTTCTCTTTTGTATATCCTGTGTTTTAGTAATCATAACTTGACCATTTAATTACAATTACTCATTGTTTGTGGCCCTTATACATTATGTCAGCATTTACCAAACTGTGTTCCACAGAACCTTGGGGTTCCACATGATATATTCAAGGGTTCTGCAAAAACATTTTGTGCAGTTTAGTTGGAGTAAAGGAGCAGGACAGGTATAGGTATGGCTTAAAACATAATTAGCCTATAAATCATAACACCATGTATTCCCTTTGCAACTGGCTATTTCATATCTGGGCGGAGCCTAATTGATGACTCACTGTAAGTTAGTTGCTAATGGTAGTTGAGTGAAGTGTTTCAAGAAAAAATTACAAAATTTTGGTGATTTCAAGTACTGATACTACTTAGCCATTGATTGGTGGCTAAAAGAAGGAACTTTAAAGTGAAAAACAAGTTCTTCTGATAATAATATTTTTAAGATTTAACTTTTTAACATAAAAATGTTTCTTAAAGTATCCATTAGTAGTTTTAGAGTGTTCCATGGCTACAAAAGTTTGGCAAACACTGTATTATGTGTATCACTTATTAATTTCCACAATTATTTACAATACTGTACATTTATTTTAAACATGTTTTTGCCAATTTTGAATTTACACTTTCAAAAGAAAAAGTAATTTACAATGAGAAGCTAGGACAAAGTAATATTTAAATGTTTAAACAAGCAGCTGTTACAAGTTTATTTTGTTTTTTCATTTATGAGTTCTGCCTTTTTTTTTTTTTATAAGCATCTAACCTAAAAATAGTATATATAAAAAATGCTCATAACTAATTCCTTTTTCACTCAAAAAGCAACACTACTGTGCCAGGTTGCTGGAGACACAGAATTATTTAAAGTTTACAATGCTGTGAAATACATTAAACACTTAAAGGTATAGTAGCTTGAATTGTTAAAAAGTGCTTTACTTGCAAGCACTAGTGGGTTAACTCTATAGCTCAGTTGGCAAAGCAATCAACTGCTGTATGACAGGTCTCTGGTTCAAATCCTAGGTGAGGATGCATATTGCGAAAAAAAATAAATTACCACATAAGAATGACTACTGTACTTAATTGCATAATAACTGTTGGAAGCCAGGGTTTTATATTATATTCTAAAGTTATTTGAAACATCCTTAATAATAAAAATACACATAAAATTTGACATTTTCAGCTGTGTAGCATAAAATACATTGGATACACAACCCAAAGGAAATTCCCAATTCAAAGTCAATAAATGTACCTTTTTTTCTATACATTTGTTTTTGCAACTTTGAAACTGAGTAAATATCTATGATACCATAAATAATGCAAGTTACTCAAAACTGCAATACATTTACCTAACATTCTGATGAAAATTCACTATCACAAAAGAATAACAATTATTCAATTAACAAAGGTTTTATAAATATAAAGATTAAGCACACAGAAACAAATATTACAATGTTCTGAAATATTAACAGCAACACATATACCAGTACTGTGTCTGTCATATCTCAAACACAATACTGGTACTGGGAAAAAAGCCTTGTTGGCATTGGATAAAGTATGATTGACATATTATTACACATTCTTTGTTTTCACTGATAAGTTCTCAGAATTACTAAAGTGTTCTCCCACTGACACTATGGTTACTTGACCCACTCCAGAAACAATAAGACTAGCTTAATTGCTGGTTTGCCATTTCTTCTGACTGAAAGTATAGTTAATTCACATCAAAATAATAATAATAAATAATTGGTGCTAAAAATAGATAAATAAATGATAATGTATGTGTTATAAATTTATAAATTACTTAGATAAAATCAATAATAATCACAAATCACTTACCTACTTACTCTAGTTCATACCATAATTGTTGTTGTTCATGCAACTACTAGCACAAATAGCACATATGCCACTACTGTGTCTGTCATATCCCACATGAAAAGATGAGCCCTGGTATTGGGTGAAAGGCCTCATCACTGCTGGATATTAGAACTGAGTGATTAGTGGAAATGGTTAATTAATTAATCATCAGATTCAATCAATTATCTTCATATGAGACAGAAATAGTTGAAATTTGTAATTAATTAATCACCAGGTTCATAAAACAATCCATTCAATCAATTATTCTAAATTGTGACTGGAATAGTTGATAATCAAAAATAGTAATAATTGAAAATATTAATTTTGATTACTTGATTATTTTCATGACATTGATCAGTTTAATCATAATTTTGATTATTTAATCAATAACTTTATGAGATGCTAATTGGCATAACTGTTGCTCATAGGTAATTAATTATATTGATTAACTGAGTTAATTTCAAAGCTCTACCGCATACAGCAAATTCAGTGTGGTTGACATATAATTACATATTCTTCTGTACTTTCACTCAAAAGTTCTTAGAAATACTATAATATTGCAATTCCATTAACACTGAAATTTTCTTTACATATTTTATTTTCTTCCATAAAGAATGGAATGGCTGAGAACTATCCCTTGGAACATTTTGGTAGTTTTTTTGTTTTTTTTTTATCCTTATGTACCCAAATACAGCACCTTTTATACAATCAAAATACATGTATATGTTTCTTGTATCAGTGACTTATTGTAAATAAAGATCAAATTGCTTGTTGTTGTTTTTTGTGAATTAGGGTATTTACTAAAGCTCATATACATGCAAGATCCCAGAATTTTAGCCTAATTATAAAAACAGAGACTACAGGGAATAGATGAAGTACACTAATAAAAAAAAATTAATATGGAAGCCAGATTTTTTTTCTTCTTAGCATACAGAAAATAAGGTGTGTGTACGTTCTATATTTTCACAGTCTCAAGATATACATGCATTTACAAGAATAGACATGTCAATCAGACAATGACATATCAATATTGTATTGTCTAATAGAATGCACATACTATATTTTTCATTATCTTCTAGGAATACTTCAAATCTAATGTGATGCTATAAATGATTTTTTACCTTTAGCTTTACTTTCCTCACAGCCCCACTGTTACAACTAAAACTTCCAAGACAAGTATACCTCTAGCCAAAACCTGAAAACAGCAAAAATAAAATTTCAGTATAAAGAATTTTAAACCTCAAAAACTTAATTATTTCATAGAATTTCATCATCACTAGAAACACATAAAAAGAAATCCTTAAAACTATCATTAATTTGTAATAAGATAAACTTACAAGTACAAAGAAGACTTGCAAACTATAGTACACCAAATACATTTATTAATTATCTTTTAAAAGCTATGTTGCAGATAAATATAAAAAAATATATTTTTAATAGTTAAAAAATATGACAATTATAATCACCTATTTAACATGCTTCAAAAGTCCTTGCTCTTTGGAAACCAAGTTGGTTACATGTTTAATTGGTTTACACACTAATTAGGGTGGGTCCAGTAACAAGGCTTGATCCAGGAAAAACTAAGTTGATTGTTCACAGGATACACTTGCCCAAGCTTAACTGCATATGAAAGGAGCTCATAACCTCAGCTCTGAATAATTTTTATCCATTTCTTATAAACACCTGATTGTTTGCAGTTTGCACATCTACAGGTCTTGAAACAAAAAAGAATAAAAATACAAAAGATTTTAAGAAAAAGTAGGAATGAACTATGATATTACTAAAACTAAACTACAGGGATAGCTGGGTTGTTGATTTATTTGTGATTTCATTATGACATAATTTTTAAAACTCATGAACATTATATCAACCTTTGACAGCTTGCTTCTATCTTTTTACCCCAAAAACAAGTCTATGATGTTGACAATCATATCATTTCTTACTGCTGTTTCTTCAGGGTTGCCTCAAAAAAATGAAAGATTAAGTTGTCCATACTCAGCATACACTTGATCAAAGTATCATCATATTGTTACAAAATAAATTTGAAACTTTAAAAAAAAAATGAATTATTAATTAACATATAGTCTGCCATAACCATTACTGCTGACTGCTATTTATGTTAAAAATTACAATATTCTTCAACTTTTAGGCTCATAATGTGGTTTTTCATTCATTAAAATGTTTCACTAGCACAAAATTTTTAGAGCATTATGAAAGCTAGAATGAAAAAGTCACATACATAGAATAAAGCAAAACTCAATGCTGGCTTTCTAAATTTCAGTTGCTAATCTTCTTTGTGGTCTGAAAACTTCACATAAATTCCCATGAAGACTTTATATCATCATTTATAGTGGAGAAAAGGAGAACATAATAGTTTCAGTTTTTGTCAATAGCAGTGGCATAGCAAGGGTTCTCAGCACCCGGGAGGCAAAGACACTTTTGGCACCCCCA